GCTTCAGCTAGGCCTTGAAGAATAGATAAAATTGTAGAAAAGGAGTGAAGATGGTAAGGAAGGAAATTGGCCTAGCTGATGCAAAAGATGTATACTGAGTAACTAAGAGGGAGGCAAGGAGAGCCTCCTCTCTTCAAATACTTGAATTTGAGGACAAAATACTGTCTTCAAGTGTCTGGAAGGCTGTCAGGTAGAAAAGTGATTAGCTTTGTTCTGCTAATCCCAGAGGGAATGGAAATAGTAGAGAGGCAGATGTGGGCTCAATGGAAGAAAAAAAAAAAATAGTTGTCCTATCAATCAGAGCCATTCAAAAGAATGAGCTGCCTTGGAAGGTAATGAGCTCCTCATTCCTGGAAGCATTCAAGAAGAGGTTTGGTGACTACTTGACATGGATGTTTTAGTTAAGATTACTGCTCAGGTGAAGCTTTGACGGGAAGGGGGGAGAGAGAGAGAGAGAGAGAGAGAGAGAGAGAGAGACAGAGAGAGAGAGAGAGAGGGAGAGAGGGAGATGAGATGAGATACAAGAGGCCTTTGGATGACGTGATGAGAAATGAAATATTTGTCTTAAGCCTTTGTAGGGAGAGATGGTATCAAATTAATCTGAATTTTGGAGACAGGAAGGTACAAAATGGTTCTTTTTATCTCTCCCTCACTTTGGTTGGAGAGGGCATAGCTCACTAGTTAAGTGCTTATGTAATAATATGAATGGGGTACCACAAACCTGCTTCGCAATCTGGTGGACTTCCAGTTGTCTTGATGTAGAGATGTAGCCTGGGATGGTAGAACAGACCACTTAGTTAATTGTTGAACTAGGACTTTAGATTAGATCAGGGGTGGGGAACCTGCAGCATGTGGCCCTCTAGGTCCTCAAGTGCAGCCCTTTGATGAATCCAAACTTCACAAAACAAATCCCCTTGATAAAAGGATTTGTTCTGTAAAACTTGGACTCAGTCAGAAGGAAGCAGCCAAGGACCTAGACAGGACCTAACCCCACCCCTGGGTTAGACCAGTGAGTTAAATCTAGAGAAGCCAAGTAGGTGAATGCAACTTGCATTTGGGCATGTCTTGGAAGGAAGACGCTATTCTTGTCTTGGGCTGTGAAGAGGGAGCTGAACACGGACCTTTCAAGTATGCAAAGGGCTATCACATGAAAAAGGGATTTGGACCTGATGGACCTTGACTATTTGTCCAGGATCTTGTAGAGGATTCTTGTTCAGGTTGCAGTGGATGCCCTCTGAGGACCCTTGGGTAGTCTGTGATTCTGTGACCTCCTAGCCTGGAAAGGATCATAGGTCAGGCTATTCCATGGGAACGAGTTAAGGATTAAGTTAGAAAATATAAGGACCAATTGATCTGAAAGTAGATAATTTCCTTTTGTCCACATCTGTTTTCTGCCCTCCTCTTGGTGTATTATTTCTGAATTGAATATTCCTTTGTCCCTTGCGAATGAACTCTAAAAAATCCACTCTTGAGTCTTAGTACATGTGGAGACAGTGAGGAGAAGGGACAGAAAGAAATGGAACCTGGAACCAGTCACCCAATTATGGTAGTAGTGACAAAGGAAGGAATAAGTTAATGGGGTTGGGGTAGGGAGGTGGAAAGAAGGATATCTTTAAGTTCAGCAGTATCAGGGACCAAAAAAATGACCAGGGGGTTCTGGGAGTCATGGTTGGATGGGATTCATAGATTTGGGGTGTTTAGTAAGGAGTACAAGGGACCAAGGAAAAGATCCAATGGAAAAGCTCCAAGAAAGACCTGGTATCCTATGAAGCTGATGTAGGACAGGAGAGCATAAGGGCCCATGCAGAATCCTTCATCCAGGTGTTACCAGGGCTCCCCAATACCTTTCTCTCTCTCATCCCCAGGACTCTCCTTTTCTTTTCCAGATTATCTACACCAACTGCAGCTGCCTCATTTCAGGAGTTAGGGGTAGTTCTGTCACCTCTGGTTCCTGTGAATCCCCCTGTAGTCACCTGCTGCTTTCCTTCATCCTCCTCATCAGTCTTGGAGCAGCAGTGGCCAGCATCACTCACACACCCTCCTTCATGCTCATCCTAAGGTAATGGCACACACATCCAGCTAGACTGTGGCATCCCTCAGGTTGGAGGGGACATGACACTGTGTGATGGGGCAGTTACACATATTACAACAAAAGCAACAATGAATGCAAGGGGTGATATATAGCTTATTGAGTGGAAGCAACCCCACATTCTGAGATGATAGGCTAAGGTAACAGAAATGTCTGTTGGAAGAAAATATGATGAACCACATAGTATAGTGAGAAGAGGTCTGAATCTGGAGGTAAAAGATCTGAGTTCAAGTCCTAACTTTGACACTTCCTAGCCATTTGAACTTGGATAAGTCATTTAACTTCTCAAAGTCTCAGTTTCCTTATCTGTAAAGAGAGGATAATGATCCTTGCATTTGCTACCTCCCTGTTGCTTTGAGGAAAGTACTTCATAAACCCTAAAGCTTTCTAGAAATGGAAACTGACATTGTTATATTAGCTAAGGAAATGAGCTATCAGTTAATGGGCACATCATTTCTTTTCTGACTACCACCCAGCAATGGGAGGCCTACAATAAGGACTCAAATCACAAATCACATGAATGAATCTATGAAGTCATTGATGAATGAATGATTTAATCAGATGGATGAATTGAAGAATCAATGAATGAATCTCTACATAAACAAATTGATAAATGAGTTAATGAGTGAACTGGTGAACAAATTAAATCCTGGACAACTTTGGCCAAGTCATTTGACCTCCAAGGGGGCCTCTTTTTCCTCATTTATAAAATGAGGGGGCTGGGCTAGATGTCCACTGAGGTCCTTTCCAGCTCTAGATCTCTGATCTTACATCTGTAGGTTTCTTAATTCCTAAGTTTTTCATAGCTGTGGGTAGGGTGAGGGTCACCCAATGATCAGGACCAAGTAGGAGGGTCATAGAATCTCAGAATTAGAGGGCATCTACTCCAAGCCCATCCTGAAACAAGCTCCTCCTTTAAACTACTCCACACTAGCGATCATCCAACTTTTGCTCATGAAGTGCTCTGGTGAGGACAAACCACCACCTCTCACTTCTGGATGGCTCTAATTGTAATGAAGCTTTTTTCATATGTGAAGCTAAAAACTGCCTCACTACAACTTCCACCAATTACTCTTACTCTTTCCCCCAAGACCAAGCAGAATAAGTTTCATCTCTCTTCTTTGTGATAGCCCTGCAAAAACGTAAAAGTAGTTTCCATGCTCCCCCTAAGTTTTCTCTTTTGCAAGATAAACCTTCCCAGTCCCTTTGACTCATCTGATGCCTTTGGTTTGTAGGGGGGTGAAGAATGAAGATAAATCTTTGGCTGTTGGAATCCAGTTCATGTTGATGAGAGTTTTAGGTAAAAATAAAAACTGGGGTGGGGTGGGGTGGGGTGGGGTGGAGTGGGATTGGTTATGGAGTAGGATGGGAGGGGAGAAGAGGGAGACATATACATAGTATTCTAATCAGTATTTGAGGGGCCCAAGGTGTCATGGACTCCTAGACTTCTCAGAATCCCAAGAGCTCATCTAATTGAGAAAGGCAGCAATATGTAACAATAACCAGAGTCAGGATTCCCACATCCTTGTCCTGGCCCTGCCACCCACTCATTGTGAGATCCTAAATATCTCATTTCTCTCCTCTTGGTCTCAGTTTCCTCATCTATAAAATAAGTTTAGCTATTACTTGTTCTAGCTACCTCACAGAGAGGTAGATATCTTAGAAATAAGAGCAAGCTCAATTCAAAAAATCTTTATTAAGCACCTATTCATGACAATGAGGCTACAAACCAGAAAAATAATGTGAACTCTGCCCTCAAAGAGCTTATATTTTACTCAGGGAATACACCATGGGCTCAACTATGTATGATCTACATTGGAATGTGATGAAAGGACAGAAAGGATCACTTCCTACAGTGGTGGGGTTGGGAGAGGAGAGATCATGGACAGCTCAATAGAGGAAGTGGCTGAGACTTGAAGGAAGAAAAGGCTGAAAGTCTGGTATCATGGAAAAAAGCCTGGATTTAGAATCACACAGCCTAGATTCAGATCTCTGCTACTTGCTTGCTGTGTGACCCTAGGCAAATTGCAAGCAGTGTGGAACAATGGAAAGGAAACTGGATTTAAAGACAAAGGTCTTGGGTTCAAACCCTAGCTCTGCCATTTACCATCTAGGTGACCTTGATCAAATCATTTCACTTCTCAGGGGCTCAGGTTTCTCATCTGTAAAATGAGGAGGTTGGACTCTATGACCTCAGAGATTCCAACACTGAATCCATGATGCTTCTCTGATGGTCTCTTCATCTGTAAATGAAGGGGTTAGATGAGGTGGTCTCTAAGATCCCTTCCAGCCTTGAGCTTCTATGAATATGAATGGGGGGGAAAGTATTGAGTGCTTACAAGGTGTCAGGCTCTGTGCTGAATGCTAGAGATAGAAAAAGAAAAATAAAGCAGTCCTTAGTGTCAATGAATTCTAAGTGGGAAAAACACTACACATAGGAGAGTCCAACTGCAAGGCGGATGGAAGGGCCCTGGGGTCCTTGGTAGGTCATATGGAAATGGCTGAGGGTTTGGAGAGCACAGTGGCCAGATGGGAAGGAATTTCTGCCCTCTTGGCTGGATGCCGGTGTGTCCCACCTCATCCCCATCCTCTTTCTCATGAAAGATAACCCCAAGTCCCTGAATTGGCTGCAAGTCTGAATAGGAGGACAGCCCCCAATGCCTGCTTCACTCCAGGCTCACCTAACTTCCAGCAGGGACAATGGAAGGGCAGCATTCAGAGCCTGCTTCTTGCTAGGCCTAATGCATAGAGAACTGGGCAGGATAGGCCCCCAGTATGTATTCCAGGTATTTTGGATATCTGCGATCATAGGTAGAAGTGGGTAGTTATGATTATTAAATACCCTCTACCTCAGACAGAGTGGCTTCTATTCCACTAAGATGCTTTCCTTAATATATTTCAGGTTAGGCATCTACACTATGTCTCCTCGTAAAATATCCAATGTCTCCCAACACTTACTGGAATAATATCTAACTGAAATTCTTCCCACTGACTTCCATTTACTGAAGGGAGTCAGAGAATACTTGCTCATCACCCCTTGTAGGCCTAGAGTGAGGCCCAGCCCTTAGAGGGCCTCCTAGTCTTAGGGGAAGACGTAGCCCCTGCCCTCACAGAGCCTCTGGTCTGAGAGGGAGACACAGTCCCTGTACTCAAGGAGCACCTGGCTCCGGGGAGAACAAGGGAGCCCCCCAAATCTGAGAAAGCCTTCCCTCAGTGTTGGTGGTTGTTGGCCTTCACTCTCAAAGAGGACCAAAATGACATCACTATGCTAGAGTCACGTTTGAATGTGCCCAGCTGTGGCTGAGCAGACCAAGACGAGCTCGGAATGCTCTGCCACAGCTCGGGCACAAATCGTCCATGTGAACGTCTGCGGTGGATTCTCTAAGTCTGTGCATCTTGCGTTTCTCTGGAGTTATTTCAATTCTGCTTTGCTCATAGAGCACAGCACCTTTTCTGATGTGGGCACACCATGCTGGGTGGTCCTGTCTCCTTTGTCACACAATCAATCCCAAAGTTCTTAAGAGAGACCTTGAGAGTGTCCTTGTATTGCTTCTTCTGACCGTCTTGTGAATGCTTGCCCTGTGTGAGTTCTCTATAAAATAGTCTTTTTGGGAAGCGTATGTTTTGCATTCGAACAACGTGGCCAGCCCATTAGAGTTACACTGTCTGAAGCAGAGTTTGAATGCTTGGCAGTTTAGTTCGATAAAGGACCTCAGTGTCTGGTATCTTATCCTGTAATAATACCCTGGAACTCTCACCCCTGTCCTGTCTGATCACTGGCTTGGAATGTGTGTACTCATAGCCCCCATCAGCCCTGGAGAGGAGCAGTAGATCCCCATAGGTCTGAATCCCGCTTATATAACCCGTATTTTCTCTCACAGCCTGGATGCCCAGCCCCGTGATCCATGGCATTGCTATTGACACTGCCTGTGTCTTCTGGGCTGATACCTGTGGGATGCGGTCCCTTTGTCGATACTATGACCATACCGTCCTCAGGCATCGGTGAGTCCCACAAGCTGTGTGTGGTCAGGGAGGGAGGGAGAATGAAAGACTACAGAATAAGCCCTACTCGGGCTGTCCAGAAACAGGGATTTTATCCCAAATTCGGACCCAGGGTGGATTTTATAGATAAATTCTGGGTTTTGAGAAGAGGGGGACCAAGGGACTTGAGCTGTTCAAAAAGATAACTCTTGTTACCATGTGTGGAATGGATCAGAAAGAAACCACTAAAAAGCATGACATCACAGGAAGTCTAGAAATTCTCTGAAATGGTCAATGACTTAGGAGAGAAGAGTTGTCTGGCAGTTGTACAGGGATTCCAGTTTGAGAAACTGAGATATTTCCTGAGGGAGTCAGTCACCCAGAACATGGCTCCAATGTTCTATATTCTAAGGCCCCTGCCAGCTCTCAAATTCTGTGCTTCGTATTCTAAAACCCTTTAACCCTCCACGCTTGGTGTTCTGAGGCCTCTGCCCATTCTAACATCAGGGTGCTGGACTGTCTCTGAATCCAAAGAGAGACTCAAATAGATTTTAATCCCACCAAGATCAAACTGGTTGATTTCAATCTACTTAATCTTGAGCCATGCCTTGGAATTCCAGCCCTAGGCCTGGATCGCTTTTGAGCATTTTGATGCTGTTTTATGGGAATCCAAAATCAGAACATATGATCCAACAAATGATTATTTTCTGAATTTGTGAATGGGACAGAGTATTTGAAATAATGGTTTAGTGGAAAGAACACTGGCCAAAGATTAAGAGGACCTGGGTTTCATTCTCACATCTGTCTCTTAATAACTGTGTGGCCTTAGACAAGTTACTGCCACTTACTAGGCCCCAGTTGCCTCCTCTATAAAGTGATTGGTTTAAAATTGCCTAACATCCATCCAGTTTAGTAATGCTAACTTCAAGTTTAATAGTTTCAGAGAAGGGAAAGATTAGTGCAAACTGGAGTGGCCAAAGAAGCCCTCCTAGAGGGAATGGAGATGGAGCTGATCTTGAAGTGCAACCAAGATTTGGAGAGACAACAATGAGGGCTCCTGAGAATTTGGGGATATGGGGATGGCTATGGAGAACATAATCTTTTCTTCCAAAGATAGGGCCACTGGATTTGATGAAGAGTGCCTTTCTCAGACTCTTCCCTCGTTAGGGTGCACCCTTCCCCTCAAATGGGATATATTCAGGAAGATGCATTGAGGGAAACCTCAGTGGAGTTCATGACCGCAGCCCAATGGCCTTTCCCATTCCTTCTTCTTCCAGGTTCATTGGGCTTCAGTTTTTCTACAAGCTGGGCACACTGGTCTGCTTCACCCTGGTGTTCATCATCCTACGACAGCAGGAGAAGGAGGCTGCTTGCTCTGGGTCCCAGCATGGCTCTGTTTCCCAGGAGGAGAAGTTGATCCTCAGCTCAGAGAAGAGATCTGGGGAATCCATAGTGTGAGACAGCTGCCCCAGGCCCGGCCTGCCTCCCTACTCCATTCTGGAGGGGGCAAAGGACCCTACCAATGATGAGGAGAAGGGATAACATCTGCAACAAATATAGCCTTCACTGGAGTCCTCTACCAGGGGATGGTGTGGGGGCTATGTCTAAGTGAAAGGGGCAAATGGAGACTGGTCACCTGGGATCTTGTCCCCAAAGAACCATTCAGGGACTGGAAGACATTGTCAGATGCTCTCTCAGTACTCTCATTTTCTTGTAGTGAGAAAGCCTCAGATAGAGAGCCTTATTCCGTACAGAGCCAGAGATCATCAAAAGCCAGTCCCCATAATGATCTGGCCATCCTGCTTGCTTTCAATGTTGGCTCATCTCTGCTACCCACAGACAGAGACCAATGGATTCTTTCTCCAGTGATCTCAGCTCTCCTAGAAACAAAGAGACAAGAGGACCAACCCCCAGGGTCACGATACAAATTCACACATGGGGAAATGGAGAGACAGGATTCCAAGCTCACCATGCATATGGGAGCTTCCGTGTTCCTGGACCTCATCTCAACCTGTTACCTAGGAAATACATGTCAAGGATGCTGAGCACTCATCTCCAGGAATGAATTGACAATCACTAACATCAGAGATTGACTGTCCCTTGTATACTCTGCCTCCATTTTTTATACTCTCCCTTTGATCATTCTTAGAGCCCAGACCGAGAACAACCAGCCCCAGGTTCCTTTGCCTAAGCTCCTGGCAGGTTTGCAAATTTGCCTGGGGGCAGGGTTATTTCATTATACTGTTGCACTTATCCAGAGATATAGTTCCCCTTGCTTTCACAAGCCACTGTTTACACCAACTATAGATAGTCACCTCTTACCTTTGGCCAGGCATCCATCCAGGGAATTCCTCCTTTTTTCTAACAAAACAAATGCTTCTTCTTGCCAAATTCCTGCCCAAGCCTAGATCCCTCATCCAGAACTGACATAAAGCAGAGATTTCCCCCAACCTTTGGATGAGAAAAGGTTGCCTTTAATCTCTACAAAATCCTTCGAGTCACCTTGGGTAAGTCATTTTCTTGTCCTGAGCCTGTTCTCTTTGTGTAAAATAAGGGGAGGTAATGGTACAGCAGATGGGTAGGATGTGTTACAGTAGAAAGGACACTGACTTTGGCATCAGAGGATCTGGGTTCAAATCTCATTGCTGATGCTTACTGTCTTTGTGATGGTAGGCAAGTCACTTAACCTCCCTAGGCCTCAGTTTCCTCATCTGTAAAAGGAAGAGGTTATACCCAATGCCCTCTGGAGTCCCTTCTACCTTTGGACTTATGAATTTATGATGGTCTTTCAGGTACCTTTTAGCTCTGATTCTCTACCTCTTGAGAACACTTCAAGAAAGACCATGGGCTAAATCACCTCGAGGGCCCCTCCCAGCTCTAAATCTGTGATCCCTGTGACCCTGAATCCAGTAGATCTTCCTGACCCCTAAGAGCTTGGTTTGGTTTCCTGGCCTCAGATATCTGTCACTGCCTCAATTCTTGGTCACCTTCTCCCTTCTACCTCTGTTGCCTCAATTCCTGGTCCCTGTATCCAGAGCCATTACTAAGATAAGGTACCCTAGAATTTTCACCCCGGATGCTGACATCCAAGGGGTTATGCCTCTCCTGCCAGGGCTGAACTTTCCACCTATAGCAAGCTCTGTCCTTCTGCCTTATCTTCCATTAGCTAGCCCTTGTCTTCCCCCACAAAGGCTCATTACTGTGTGTCTCCCTTTCTAATGCCCAGTCTCCCTCCTAACCCCTATAGGAGCCAGGGCCGGACTGTCTGGGAGACTAACTACCCCCTATGCCATTGTAGTTGGATCCATGCTCAAGCTGTCTCTTGGACTGCTACCCCCTACTCAGGTGAAACTCCCTGAAGCATGAGAATTGCTAATTATCACCCTGTGTGTACCCATTTCTATCTGTCTTCCCTCCTATCTCATCTTCTCACTCTTTAGATTCCATGAGTACATTTCATGAAGTTTGTTCAAAAGGGAAAAAAGAATATATAAATCCAGAAATAACAACCCATAGAGTGTTAGATACGCAGAGGCTAGAGATGCAGATCTAGTCTCAAACTAAATGCTACCTTAATTGTCTAATCTAGTCCTTAACTGAAGCATCCTAGGCTGAACTTAGTTCATAATTCTCTCTGGGCTATGAGCCACACAACACCAAGTCATTGGTGGCCCTGGAGAATGGTGGTATCTTCCCTAGAACACTCACCAATTATTGTAATTTGTCCTCTTGGCTCACTGGATTGAGCTCATTGGCTCATTCTACCAATCCCTGGCTCACTCTTGGCCAATCAGGGAGTCTCCTGTTTTCATAGAGGTTTCATGGAGGTCAATGTTTCCCCTAGAGTGTAAAATAATAATTTAACTAATGAACTTCTCATCCCAAAACATGGCTATTCCCCTCCAAAGTTCATAAGAGACATTCTTTGCTTATAAGGAGTTGGACTATATTCAATTTGATTTAATTCAGCAAATGTGTTTAGCACCTGCATGGTACAATAGAACATTGAATTCTAAGCATTAGAATAATGGGTTTCAAATTCCATTTTGGATACTTACCAACCTGTGCAACCCTGGGTAAATCCCAGTACCTTACTGAGCCTCAATTACCTCATCTGTAAAATGGGGTAATTACACTACCTACTTCTTAGTACTATGGGGGTGAGGGGAAGTGTTTTAGGAACCCTAACCTGCTACAGAAAAGATAGTTATGATTATCACAGTCAGAACTCTATGTTCAGTGTTATGAGGCTGGTCTGTCACAGGGAGACACAAAGATAAATCAGACATGGTTCTCAGGGAGCTTACAACCTAATAGGGGAAATTAGACAAATACACAAATAGCCATGATGCAGGCAGGATATAATAATAGCAAAAGAGAAAGCCAAACAAAAACGTTAGGGGGAAATATCAGAGGGAGGATGGGAGGATAGGTCTGATGTATATTCTATGACAAAGGTCTCTCCTATCTGGTCACTGACAGTCGATGAAGAATGGGATGGTCAATCAGCCAGCATTGGTTAAGCACAACCAGGAGACACCCTTGTGCTAAACTTTGAGGAGAAATGTCAAGAGAAGGAGGAGGAGGAGGAGGAGGAGGATCATTCCCTTTTCTTAGGGACCTTCTGAGGGTCCAGACATCCTCTGACCTGAGGAGAAGACCACTTTTCCTCAGGGAGCCCCCCAGTGTGAGGGATAAGATACCAACTCAGCCCACAGTGAGTCCTCATTGTTAGGAAAAGACATGGCCTTTGCTTTCAGGAAGACCCCACTCTGAAGGGACAAGACATGGCCTCTGATTTTCTCAATAGAGAGGGGGGTAAAGATCGTCCTCAAAATATTTGAGGGGCAGCTAGGTGGCGCAATGGATAGAGCACCAGCCCTGGAGTCAAGAGGACCTGAGTTCAAATCCGGCCTCAGATACATAACACTCACTAACTGTGTGTTACTTAACCCCATTGCCTAACCAAAAACAAAACGAAACAAAAAGAAAGTGTAAGCACTAGATATAAACAACTTGGGGCAGCTGGGTAGCTCAGTGGATAGAGCACCGGCCCTGGAGTCAGGAGGACCTGAGTTCAAATGTGGTCTCAGACCAGACAGTTGACACTTACTAGCTGTGTGACTGCGGGCAAGTAACTTTGCCTTATCAAAACAAAACAAAACAAACAAACAAACAAAAACAAAAACCTTTGAGAATACTTACTTAACCAAGCAACATTAAAAAAAATGTGTGGAGGTAGGGTTGACTGTATGTTGTGCGTGAAAATGTATGATGATCTTTCTTTTCTGTTCAGCCACCTGATTTCCTTGAGACCTTGAAGGCAGGGCTTCTTTCCTGGCTGACTAACCCCATCCATCTGTGTAAACAAACCTAAGACTGAGCCCCCAATAGAGATAATTCCTTCTTTCCTTCCTCTGAAGCCTGTGCATCCCTGCCATTCCCTCAGGGGCAGGGCCTGGCAGGCTAGAAGGAGGTTTGAGAATGAGAGAGAAGGAGAGAGGAAAGACGGATTGCAAAGAGAAGGGGAGGTGGAGGAGAAGGGGAGTTAGAACCAAATCAGACTGGCCAGAGCTCCTGAAGACAGAGATGGAGAAAAGGAAGGGACAGAGAGACGGAAAGGGAAGAACATACTGGATAAGGCAGGAAAGCACATGAAAGACAAGGACAGACAAAAAATTCCACTTAACAAACTTTTAAGTTCCCACTATGGGAATTACAATTGCCCAATCTGCAAGAAAAACCACTGAGGCAGAGCTCTGAGCCAATAGCACTTTATTAAAGTGTCTGCAGCCCCCTCTTCTGAAGTGGACTTCAGATCTTCCTCATGAGCTGAGATGCCCCTGGCCCCCAGGACCTTGTTTTTATAGAATTTGATACCCAAATATGCCAAAGAGGTATGGTAAAATACAGAATCTCCTCGATTGACAGACCTTACTTTTGAGGGTTAAAAATAACATATGACAGGAGGGTCCCAGGTTGGGTGAAGCATGGGTCATCTCCACTGACTAAGTGATTATATAAGATGGCTACCTGCTCATGCTGCACATGAGAGAGTGATCTGGAGATAAAAAACAAAAAAACAAAAAACAAGTTGGGGGACTTTCCAAAGAATCAAGGCATCCGACCCATGCTGGGTTTGGTCATGGAATTTGAGCAAAACAAGATGGAGATATCTTTGTCATCATTCTTGTGGTTGTGCAAATGAGCCTCATAACTTGATAAATAAGTAGTGAACGTGACATTAAAGTTTGAGACCTATCATAAAGGCCTACTATAAGAACCTATCTTATCTAATTGTCCCTATATGATTTATGTAAAATATCAAACTGATTAATACTGATTGGAATAGAGTAGGGATCCAAATGAATTATTTCTCACCTACTAAGCATCTACCATATTGTAGGCACTGATGCTACTTTCATATCTAAAGGGTGAGGGGTCAGAGAACCCACACACACCATGTGTATCAAATTGTCAGACTATTTCAATGTATCTTCATCCACTGAAAGACAAAGCTTAGAAGTGTGCTTACTTTTAGCAGTCAACCAGAGAGAAAAGTTAATTCAAAGCAATGAAATGGTATAATTAAAGAAATGAAATAAGATAATTAAAAAGTACCAAAAAACATTTCCCCCATAAACCTGAATCACAGTCCCACAAATACACACATCAGTGGTAGGAAGAGTAGGTACACTAATTAAGATGTATAAGGAACACATATGGCCAAGGAAACACACAGGAAGAGTCATACATAAGGGAACATATAGCCTGAGGGCATATGTGGAAGACACCTCCCACGTCTGATGCCAAAGGGTTAGTCTTCTGATCATGTCATCATACTGCTTCCACTTGGCCTGTCCCTGATGGTCTTGCACGTGATATCGTCTCTGAGGAGCATTGTTTCTTGCTGGCCTTTCTTTCAGAGATAATGATAGAGTACATGCTATAGATATCATTTCTGGTCCTTGGCAGGCATAACTCCACTAAGCTTGAGGTGGTGTTTCTTCTCTGCTTCCAACTTCCGGCTTCAGCTGGAGTCATGGGCTGAAGTGTTACATCTTCTACAATAGCAGTACATTGGCTTCTGTCATCTCTCTTTTAGCTTAAAATTCAAAGGCTTAAGTAACAGCTTTCAGCAAGACAGGGACCTCACAAACCAGCCATCAGGCTAGGGGGAAGAAACCCTAAGCTGTTTTTCTCCCCCCCTCAAGGGAGGTTATCAGATCACAGGAAAAGCTGTGATAGGTTTTTTCTCTCCTATCAATAAATAAGATTTTAATAAACATCAAGAACCATGTGGGATACAAAGACAAAAGAGAAAACAGTAACTGCCCTCAAGAAGTCTACAATCTATCCAGGGGAAACAGCATGTACACACGGAATTATATAAAATATAGATATTAGAGACGTCTTTCAAGAAGCCAAATTCTTTTGAACGTAGAACTGTCATAAAGTTAAGCAGTGCTCACAAGCATTAAGTCAACCTTTTTCTAGCCTCAGCTTC